CGAACCCGACCTGACCGACCGATTTGCCAGCTCTACCTTGAAGTGTATGTTCTTCGTCAACATCGTCAATAATGATGATGTCACTATAGCCGCCGTTGTTTACGTCATTAGTGGCGGGACTAGCGGCAGCTGTTGGTGGCGGTGGAATCGCCGGTTCAGCCGCATATGGAAGGTGCATTTCAGGCGAGTGAAACCAATCTCCAAAGATGCCACTGCTTGGCTGTAAAAATGGAAACTTCAACTCATTTGTTGTAGTTCTCATCGAACTGGCCGGTCTGACCGGTCGGACTGCAAACCAGATATTTTTATGGTCTAGTTCAACTGGAAAACTCGTTTTTGTTAAAAACTAACCAAAACCGTGGGACCCGTCAAACTAGATGATCCGGGTTGATTGGCGGTTCGAGCTTTTCTATTTCTTTCTTTAAAATTCAATTTAAAAATTAAATGACGCGTGGAGGAATCAAATTTGCGTCTTTCCTTATATAAGTTGAACCGCACTTAATTAAATTCGAGTGATGCAATTTAAGAAAATACTATTGGAGGGAGTGGCGGGGTGCATTCGGGCCGGATGCGAACCGAAAATTAAAAGTCGCAAAAATCGTGATTTTTTTCTTTTCAAATTTAAGGATCATAATAAAAACGTGACACTTAAAATAAAGATTTTGTAAAAATTCTTGTGGACGTAAAAAAACGTTTAAATGGTACAGAGTAAACTTGTTTACCTGAGCAGCAAAAATATCATCACCAAGTGCAAAGATGCTCTCACTAACACTGTTTACCGGCGTCATTTCCAGTAGAAAACTCGTCAGAAACGTGTGAGACTGTCAGGACATAACGTTGCCTTTTCAGTTTAAACTGCGCAACGGAAAACGAGAAACATCACATAAAGTCCCTTCATTTGACCAGACTTTGACCCGGCAAATTTCACGTTTTGCATAGATATTTTTGTTTCAGAAAACAAAAAGGAAGTAATGAAATGAAAGTATGAAACACGACATTTGACACATCACATATTTATGTGGGCCTCTATTTTAAATTAACCCCCTGTTTTGGGGAAATTTTTACAGTGAAAAAGAAATAAAAATTGAAAAAAAAAATATGAGGGAAGAAAATGAAATTATTATTTTTGGATGTATAAGAGTGGAAGATAAATAAACCTTATTTTACATTATACTTATATCGTATAGTAGTGCCTATTCACCATTTTCTCCCAATTTGAAAGGAAAATTTATATTTGAGAATACTTTCATATTTTCAATCCTTCCTCTTTTGTCACCCTCTTCAATTCCAAACACAATACACATACATGCCCCCTTATTTTGCACCTAAAATTTTCTTTTCACACTTATTTTCTCTCTTCCAAAAAAGGGTTAAATGTTGAGATAAAACCAAGAAACCAAAATGTTAGAAATTCCCTAGATTTAATACTAAGAGTTTAACATCAACTACTCCATATTTTATGTGCACAAACAAATACTCCCTCCGTCCCATAAAGTGTTACCCATTTTGACTAAAGTTGAAATTAAGAGAGGGATAATTTTGTGTTGACTTTCCAAAAATACCCTTGATGTGATGGGTAAAAGTAGGATGTGATGGGTAAAAGTAGGATGTGATGGGTAGATTATTAGAAAAAAGGTATGATGTGATAGGTAGGGTTTGAAAAAGTAAGGGGTAAAAATGGTTTTTTAATAGAAATGGGTAAGAGATTGTGGGACGCAATTTTTTTGAAACGTGTAAATCTTTTTGGGACGGAGGGAGTATATATATACACATATATATAATTTAATATATTGTTATTGTCAAACAAAATATATGCTTTATTATTACTATTTTTTGTATGATAATTCAATAAATTTCTATACATAAGTAATACGGAGTACATTTTTTTCGATTAATCTCATCTATTTTGCACCTGTTCATCTCACGGATGGATCAGGTGATGAATGATGCATAGAATGAATGATGGATGAGATTAAGAGTGAATACCTAGATCACGGTGGTACTCCTGATTAGTCCTACATGAAACAAACCTTTTAAATTTTAAACATGAAAAAATAATCCACCGCTCTTTTTGAAATTTAAGAAAAAATAGCTACACTTAACACAAAACAAACATATATAGGCTCGTCATATAGGGATATATATCACAGCGATGCTTTACCCAATCCGAATCCAACCCATTCATAATTCATAAAAAAAGACTACTACAAAACTCACCATCTATTAGCCCAATAGATGAGTCACCAAAAGGAACTAACCTTTAAATTTTACACATACAATAATGAAGTGTAGTGATTTGTTTAAGCGCTCCTTGGATCTTTTTAAATTTTATGAGGAAATTGTTGCACCTAACAGTCTAACACACAACGTAACTAACATATGTAGTCTCGTCATATGTATAGAGCATGTTGAGGTTCTATCCCATCTAAATTCGACCCATTATCATAACTAGAAAAAAGCCCACAAAAAGTGACCATCTTTAAGCCTAATAGATGATGAGTGGCCAATGCAAAAGGAACAAACCTTTATTTTTTTGCAAAGATTATCATGTAATGTAGTGAAATTTTTAAAAGCGTTGCTGAGATCTTTTTAAAATTTAAGAAAAAGCTGCTACACTAAATATTCAACAAATATAATTTTGCCATGTATATAGATAGATAACTATTGTGTGAAAAGGACTTTACACTTGAATTGCCAATGGAGATCATGAAGCCACTTTATATTCTTGTGTGTAGATTCTATTTTAAGTAGTGTTTGGTAGCTAGCTTAATGGAATAGAATGAGATAAAGTAAATAAGGGAATGAGATGCATTGCAAGTGAAGGGGAGAGGAGTGCATTTATGGGAAGTGATGAGTAAGGAAATGACAAATGTGTGGGGGACATTAGGGAAGATGAAGTTGTCAATGCAATTAAATTTATTGTTTACTACTTTCTTACTCTCAAGAGAGATATAATAAGTGTAGTTTGGTTTATTGTTTTCCCCTAGAATAAGACAATTAAGAACGAAACAATTTAAAGTGCTTTTCATTTTTCTCAATTGATTTCAAAATTAAACAATTCCTCTTTCATTTTTTTCACTTCCAACAAAACACTTCTACTTTTTATTTAAAAATCACTTTTACCCTTATTTTTTCATACACTACCTATCACATCATATTTTTTCTCTAATAATTTATCCATCACATCTTACTTTTATCCATCACATCAATAGCAAAATTAGAAGTCAACTATAATTTAACACTTCCTTATTTTTACACTTGGTCAAAATATGAATTCTTTTTTAGAAGAGAAGGAGTAGCACTTAACCTATGGGCCTCATTCCCCCAAGAAAACTAAAAAGACCAGGTCGATTGGAGCGGTTCGGTCCTTAAGAAAGATCAATATTGAGTATAACTAGATTTCTCAAGACTAATGTGATCATTATTAAATTAAAATATGGACTTTTTGGAACCAGTGTTCAGTAACCTATCTTCAGCGGAGAAAAGGAAAGATCACAATGTTGTTTGCTGGAAATTGTGTAGCTTATTTGAATTTGATTGAAATGGCATGGAATTGGGTAAAATTGAATGTTGTTTTGTGAAATTGAGAGCATTTTAGGTGATGTTGAGTTGAAATTGTTTGTAGTTAATTGGAATTCGATTGAAATTGACATGAAATTGAGTCGAAATTTTATTTTTTTCTTGTTTTTCAAAAAAATAAAAAAATCATACTTCTAATTATTTTAATTTCAATGATTTCTATACGTTGTTGATTTATAATAAGTACTAATGCAAAATGATTATTTTCTATCTAGAATAGAAACAACAAAAACCTAAATTTTAATTTGAATGAATTTGTACATTGAGATATTTTATTTTGTTATCGCTTATTTGTAAATTTATAAGATACGGAGTATTATGTAAAGTATTGTTCTATAAATTAATAGGGTGTGCATTTGTATAAAAAATTAATTTTTCAAATGTAAATATAGTTCTATAAAAATTATATTTCAAACATATTACAACACTAGTCCTAGTCTTTGAAAAATACCACACTTTCTATACATGAAGTCTTTCACCAAAATTGATGGACTAATTGAGACTAGCCTCTAATTAACACCAGAGTGGCTAGAAGATTACTTCGGTTCCAAATATATTGCGCGGTTCGTTCTCGTCAATATATCCATTCTATTTTTTGGTCGTAGTCCCTTTTCCCATCGATCTCTATCTCTACCGGGTTTCATAATCAGTCATTCCGCATTTTAGATGATATTTTATGGTAAAGCCAGTTCACTTCTTTTGAATTTCAAGAATAAATTTCAAAGAGCAATATGAAACGAGAGCCTATATTATATTATACATCTAGATGTGCCTTGAGCTACGTACACCCAGCAAATGTTCATTTCGAATCAACGTACGTAATGTTCATTTCGAATCAACGTACGTAGTGTTCATTCTGAAGCAACGTAATGTTCATTTTTCAGACATTTGTTCATTACAATTATAATATTCATTTAAAAACAATATAGTGTTTATTATGAAAGAACGTAATCTTCATTTCAAGCTTGCTCAACATAGTGTTCATTCTCAAACAACGTAGTGTTTACTCTGAAATACCATAGTATTGATTCTGTAACATTTTTTAATTACAATTTTGCCATGATGTACAATACATCCGCCTGCACCATTTAATTTACCATTTGAAAGTTGAAACCATTGGCGTGGTTGAAAGCTTTAAATGGGAATAACCTCCATTATTGTCCTAGGAACTTTAAAAAATTCATGTAATAACTTATGTAATTATGGTTGGGTTGACATTTTTTGTCACTTGTTTAACTATTTTTATCGTGTTTTTAACGTATGTTTAAATTGTTACACACCACGTCACCGCAAAAAAGAAAAAAACAAAATAAAAAATTACTCAAACTCAAATCACACATTATGCACTAAAAATAAATTTTACAATTGAACGAACATAATGAGCGTTTATTCAAGCTTCTAAAATGTGGGTTGATGTTATCGGTTCTTTATAGAGAAGCAAAAGGACCGGACTAGCCTGGTCTTTTTCTAACATCGGTCTGGATTAGGCTGGCATTCATTAAAAGTATGGATCTTTTGGGAGGGGTAGTCGGCTTAGGACCGGTCCATGCATCTTTATTTTTAATGTATAAATTTGTTCATTAAAAAATAAAAAAAATAACTTCTTACTTTTGATTATTTAATTTTGCAAAAATTATCTAAAATAATCACAACTTTACCCGTTCTTTAAAAAATAATCTCACATTTCACTGTGATGCATAATAATCATAACTTTAGATAAATTTGAAAATTTTAGGTTGCTGTTAAGCTACTAGGGACTAGTCAATGGCACCTTGTATTGTGCAATAAAAAGAAAGTTAGGATTATTCCTGATGATCTTTTGTTTTTATTTTATTGTTAATTTTTTGAAAATTTCTCTTAAATTTTTAAAATGAGTTTCTACCTTCATTTCATTTTCTATTTTTTAAATATTAGTATTACATTTAAAAAATTGAAAAAAAAAAGCGAAAATGAGAAAAACAACTGAAATCATACAAAAATGATGAAATAAAAAGATAATCAATAAAAACTAACCTCAAACTGATAAGAAATAAAACTGAAAATATACAGGGTGGTGAATTCTAACATTTTAGGCATTATACAAAGTATTAATGTATTGCTTCCTCCTATTGGAAAAAAAGAAAATAAAAACACGAAATAACAAATAATGTTTACTTATTAAATCCTAAGAAATTGAAATAAAAATAAAAAAATAAGTAATACATTAATACTCTGTATAGTGTGTTAAATGTTAGAATCTGTCAAGGAACCGATTCAACCAATATCATAAACTTGTGGTTATGGCCCAGGAAAGAGTTTTTATGTTCTATACACACCCTCTCACGTGCAGGGCGTAGTCTTTTCAAGCCTCACACGTGAAACATTATTTTTTTTAAACTAACTAGAACTGAGTTTTGAGCATGTGACCTCTTAGTCAAGAAGGCTCTAATACCATGACAAGGAACCTCTTCAAGTACTAGACCTGGCAAAATTTGACCCGATCCGTTATTAATCCGAAACCCGACCCGAAATTAGCGGGTTTTGAACATCGATTTTGCGACCCGAACCCGAAGACCTGTCAAATTTTCGGGTCAGGTCGGGTTTGACCCGACGAGTTATGCACTTAATTGCTTATTTTTATTAGTTATTTAGTTTTATATATTCATTTAAAATATGATATACCCATTAGGGTACTCAAAACTAAAAAGGCGTAAAACCTAATCTAAACCCAGTAACATTCCACTATCTCTCTCCCTTATCTCTCTCTCTCTCTCTCTCTCTCTCTCTCTCTCTCTCTCTCTCTCTCTATATATATATATATATATATATATATATATATATATATATATATATATATATATATATATATATATATATATATATATATATATATATATATATATATATATATATATATATATATATATAT